TATATATATATATATATATGAGAGAGAGAGAGATTCCTGTGTCCTATTCCCAGAGATTCTGATTGATTTTCTGGGATATGAACTGGACATTAGGATTTTTAAAAGGTCCCAGATGATTTCCATATGTACTGAGAACCACTGATCTGGTGAATGAACCTTGACAGGTTTGTGGTTTCCTACAGAGAAGAAAGAAATGGTTGGGTCAGTCTCATTGCTGTGGATATCATAAATGATGATTTCATCTTGTCCTTAATGGAAGATTTGCCTTTTTTTTCTCTGTTTCCATCGGGCTGAATCCGTCCCCTGTACACATCATTTTGCTGTACAGAGCCACCAACCTACACAGAAAAGTAGAAGGTGTAGAGCTATGCAGGTAGTAGTAAAACACTTGTGTTATTCTCTCCGGTTCTAGCTGTTATTTTTATTGCCCATCATCTACCTCTCCTGATCCTGATGCACATGTGCATTACAGTCACAGCACATCCCTTCTCATCAGCTGGGAATCCTCTGGAATTGATGTCTTTGCTACTTCCTGAGTTGATCAGCAACTAGTATGGTGGCATCACTTTATGTGAAAATTCACCAAGACTTAAAGATTAAACTGGATCTTTTAAAATTGTTTATTTGTTTTTGGTGTGTGACAATTGTTTGATTATACCAAGGTTTGGGAAACCCAAAAGTTTAACAGGGCACTATTGTGTAGTTTAGAAAACCAGTGAAGTCTAATTTTTAAATCTTTTATGTGTTCCAGAACTGTAAGCCTCAGAGAATGTGTTATATTAAACAGGTTTTAATTGGCTTTTCAGAATTTCAAGAATATGTGATTAAATTACGTGTTCTGTGCTATACTCATATTTAGCTATCAAAAAGCACCTATGCCATGAGAAAATTAAGAATCCTGGCATTGTAGACACTTTAAGCATAATCATTGCCACTTATGTACATTTGTCTTTGCCTACACCAATGGCATATAATCATCTACAGAATTTGAGCATTTTGATGACTATATTATAATGAGACATTTGACAGTGTGGTTTATTGGAGATGGTCTAGTTACAGTTAAATGTGGGGTTTAAAAATAAGTACACCAATGGCATATAATCATCTACAGAATTTGAGCATTTTGATGACTATATTATAATGAGATATTTGACAGTGCGGTTTATTGGAGATGGTCTAGTTATAGTTAAATGTGGGATTTAAAAATAAGGTAGTTACAGTTAAATGTGGGGTTTAAAAATAAGTCTTTGAATGAGAAAGATATAAGTCCACTCTATATACTGCCTTGAATTTGCCCTTATAAGGAAAATCACTGATTCATTTTCTGTGTACGAACACTCATTGAACATTCATCAGTATCCACACAAGTAAATGTTGGTAGGAGGTTCATAAAAATACACAGTACCAAATAGTACATTTGGAAATAAAAGATGGAATGAATATAGGGAGAATTTCCAGATTATAAGGAAAATTTTCAGGGATCTTTAGTTAGTGGCAGAGAATTGACCAAGAACATATGAGACCCCCAACATCACTGCAGGTATCCAAGACTGTAAGTAAAACCAGGAGAATGTATTCAAATAGATGCCATTCTTAGGTCTACTGATGACCATATAAGACCACCTATGCCTCTCTTGGAACCAAACATATATTTTTAATGATGACCAATTCCAGAAATCCATTCTTGCTAGCATCTATGAGAAATAAGAGATTGAAAGGGTGAAGAAAAGCATACTAAAATTAAGGACTATTTTTTTTCCTTTTTCTAAAACTTTTAAATGAATTCCAGTTCAAGTCCTGGAAAACAAAAACAACGTAAAACAGATCAAAGGCTGAATGGATTATATAATTGACAGTGTTCTTTAAAGGGATTTCCTAACTTTGATGTTGATTTTTATTGCAATTATAGTCCCATTGTTTTGCCCACTGACATAGCATAGCACAGTGAACTAGGAAAATGTTTGAATATACAAGTTCCTATAAAAATTCTGAATGAACTTTTTGATTAAAAGTGGCTGTATGCAACCATGGTCTAAAAGTTCCAAGTATGGACAAAATGATTTTCTAACCATTTCGCTACTCCAAGGACTTCTGATGGCAAGCATTCTTTGTTCATTAGGATGAATTCCTTAGCCCTTATTCAGATGTGTTCTGTGCTTTTCCTTTTAGTACTTATGGTGGCTTCATGTAGCTGAGAACATCTCTACTCAAGCCAAATAAAAGAGGGGTATTTATGATCCATCTAGAAGAGGACCCTTTGCCAAAGCAAATAAGGTTTTTGTGTTCTTCTTTGCCTCCTTAGGGTGTTGTTACTGATACCTCTCCCCAGACAGTGGCACCTTCATCCCAGGACACCAGTGGTCAGCAGCAACAGATAGCAGTGGACACATCCAGTGAACATGCATCTGCATATTCTTACCAACAGTCCAAGTAAGTTTGGTCTATGCTCCTTCTTCAGTGTCAACCATCTTGACATCATTCTCTCATATTGTACTGTTGGCTTGTGCTACAATACAAACCACCCCAAACTTAGTGACAAGCATTTTATTTAGCTCATGATTATGTGGGTTGGAAATTAGGGCTGACTTCAGGTGGATGATTCTTTTGATTTTGACTGAAGTCAAGTGTCCAGGAGCAGCTGCTGATCACCCATGCAGCTCTGCTCTGGGTGTCGGCTGGCTATTGGCTGGGTGATGGAGGCAATTGAGCCACATGTTTCTGATCCTCCAGAAGGCTTATTCACATGTTAGTCTCAGAATTCCAAGAACAGCAACAGAGCAAGTCTAAATGTGCAAGCACTCCCTGATTTGGTTAAGTTATTTGCTACGGTCCATTGGCCAAAGCAAGTCACATGGCCAAGCAGAGTCAATGTTAGAGTTCACTATTAAGAGGCTTAATACAGAGAGCAGTATTGTAGCCATTTTTCTAAAAAAATTCTACCATCCACATTCTTGGAAAAGTTCCAGTGTTCCTACTTGAAAGGAGATAGTGAGCCTGCACTTTGGTCTCTGTTTCCTCACTCTTAAATGAAGACAATAGCAGTCCCCTTGCAGAGTTGCTTAGAACACATAGTTAAATATTTGTGTAAAAAGGTCTTGTAAAATATAAAGCAATGGAGAATATGGTCTAAATCAGGAATGAAATGACAAAGGAAAAATCAAGTAGTCAGAATTACTCTTGAAAATCCTTTAATCACTCATAAAGCAAAACACATTTGGCTTTGTGTTGAGTAAATACTCACGCTAAATTTTGAGAGTTTTTATTGAAACCAAAGGAATTTAACAAAAGAAAAGTCTATATACAGATGTCTTGGCATGCCAGCTATTCAACTTCATAGATAATAATCAAACCCCTGGTGAATAGAGAGTTCCTAGATGACTCTACCTGTCTGCAGAGTGTTGCTCCATTTTGTTATCATCATTTTTCTTGTTAATGAAAAAAATTATTTTGTCTTTTTATGAATAGAGAGTTCCTAGATGACTCTACCTGTCTGCAGAGTGTTGCTCCATTTTGTTATCATTTTTCTTGTTAATGAAAAAAATTATTTTGTCTTTTTAATGAAAAAAATTATTTTGACACTTGTTAAAACAATAGGGAAGACTTTGTTCAGGATGACTGCAATAGGTGTCAAGACTACTGCAACAGGGGAGAGAGATTGCATTGAACTCAGAATATAGCAAAGAGCTGGAGATTTGTAGTGAACCAGCAAAGTGAGGGAGACAGTGAATGGAAAATTACTAAGAGGTGATGTAAAGGGTAGGGGAATTACTGCTAAACCAATGTAACAGGATTCTTACTGAGGACAGAACAAGGATTCATTTATCTAAGGTGGAGGATGAGGAAATTGATCAGATATTGAGGGTGATCAGATATCGAGTAGGGGATTCTCTCTAAACTCACTTAGCAAGAATCTTGCTAAAACTAGTCATATAGGCCTGGCAAGGATGGGGCCAAGATCTAAGTCTAGTCAAGAAGAGGGCTTAGAGTAGTCTGACTAAAATTTGGTCAAGGAGAAAATCTTTGTCACTCTTTAACCTCAAGATACAATAAGAGATTTATTTGTTGTTAGATTAATCAAGGCAATGGAATCTTTTGTATGTGGTTTAGCTTCTAAAGTCCCCCTACAAATTAAATTTGCTCAGAACATGACAATCTTACAAATTTAAGGCATGATTACTGCCATTACTACTATCAACAACTTCCAGGAAAGATTTTTACTGAGTAAAGCAGTTTGTTGTTGTTGCTTTAATTGACCTACAGCCTGTATGAATTGCTTTTACACACAACAAACAATATGGTAGTCTGTGACATTCTAGTCCAGGCATACTGGAATTTTTTTCAGTACAGTTAGTGTGTTTATATGTGAAGAAAGGAGCAGATATTTGCTGTGTAGAATCATAGTGAAAGACACTGGTGGAAGTTGAGAGATACTATGTGTGATGGTTAATTTTATGTGTCAATTTGGGTCACGGAGTGCCCATATGTTTGGTCAAACATTATTTTTGGGTGTGTTTGGGAGTGTGTTTGGGGGTGAGATTAACATGTGAATCAGTGGACTGAGTAAAGAAGATTGATTGCATTCCTGAATATGGGTAGCTCCCACTGAATCTGTTGAAGGCCTAAATAGAGCAACGAGGTTAAGAGAGAATCCCTGCTGCCTGACTGCTTGAGCTGGAACATCCATCTTTTCCTGCCTTTGGACTTGAACTGAAACATTAGCTTGTCTTGGGTCTAGAGCCTGCCAGATTTGGTACTGAAATTCACACCATCAGCTTTCTTGGTTCTCAGGCTTTCAGACTCAAACTGGAACTACGCTATTGGCTCTCCTGTGTCTTCATTCTACAAACTGCAGATCTTAGGACTTCTCAGTCTCCATACTCGTGTGAGCTAATTCTTTGTTTTAAAAAATTTCTCCTCCCTCTCTGTCTCTCTCTTTGTTTGCTCACACAGACACACACACAGACACACACACATCATTCTGTTCATTCTGTTGCTCTAGAGAACCCTAATACAGATTTTGATACCGAGTAGTTTTAGAGAAAAAAGAATTTTAAGAATGAGTTGTCTGAATTGGTTCTTGGGTTTCTGGAATTGGCTCTCTTATGTGATTAGATTTACAAACACTGATGACTCTACTTGCAGTAGTAAAGAGAGCACTCATAGTTTATGGCATGATCTGGCAATAGGGATATGCAAAATATCTGCACTGGATACTTCTAATCAACCACTTATAAGAAGGAGCTGGATCACTATGTGTATGATATTTTCAAACATTTTTGGCGAATTAATAAATATAATGAGGGGGCTGGCCAGTTAGCTCAGTTGGTTAGACAACAGCCTTGTAAAATCAGTGTCATGGGTTTAGATCCTCAGATCAACCAGCTGCCAGATAAAATAAAATAAATGTAATGAGATTGGCTGGTTGTTCCTAATGTCTCTGAACAAAGTGGGGAAAGAAGATCTTAGACACTGCATAAATGATCTGAAGGCTTCTTTTTCTGCCTTGAATGAGACCTTTATCTCCTGTAGCCACAGGGCTGAGATTGCTGAAAATCAAACTCAGAAGCTCATCCTATGACTGGCTGAGTTACAAGGCAAATTGAACTCCCAGCCTTGTGGGGTTTCTACAGTTAAAGTGAGGGCATCGTTTAGGAAAGAACAAGATGCTGAAAGTTGAAATGGGTACATGTGGGAAGGACCTAATGAAATTGGGGGTGCTGAGCCCCTAAATTCTGATGAGTCATTTTGCCAGTGGAAAAGGCCTCCCTACCCTCAGTGGGAGAGGCCTCTCCAGCCCAAGTGGGAGGAGTCTCTTCACCCCTGTAGAAGGGCATTAACTCTGCATTGCCTGAGGAAACTGTAATGGCCTCCCCCGAGGCAGTTTCCATGTAAAACAGTGCTAAGTCTCTTTAGTACCCACCTTTCTCATCCTCTTTGCTTCTAGACCTATAACTAGAATCAAGTTCCAGCAAGCCCCTAAAAGTGAAGTTCAAAGGGTGACCTATAAGGAGATGCACCGCACTTCAAAAGAACTGCTTGAGTTTTCTAATTTATACAGAGATTCAGGGAACATGTGTGGGAATGAATATCAAGGGTGTGGGATAATAGTAGAAGGAACATGAAGTCGGGTCAGCCCGAATTTATTGATATGGGCTTACTAAGCAGAGATTCTGCATTCAATGTTGAAGCCCAAGGAGTTATAAAGGACTCTTAACAGTTTGTTTGATTGGTTTACTGAAATATGAACCAAAAGGTGGCCAACAGTGACCCAAAATGACATCATAGTGCATTAATCAGAGTATGGGTTTGTGGAGGTCAGGTGATCAGTGGAGTTTCAGCTCAGGTCCATCTCACAGTGGGTCCAGTGCATTCCTGAACCCACCCTGAGGTTATTTCCCTTCTTCTGGAATGCATAATTGGAATAAACTCAGTACCTGACAGAATCCCCACATTGGTTACCTGACCCACAGAATGAGGGCTATTATGGTGGAACAGGTCAAATGGAATCCACTAGAACTGCTTCTACCTAGGAAAGTAGTAAATCAAATGCAGTACTGCATTCTTGGAGGGATTGCAGATGTTAGTGCCACCATCAAAACTTTGGAAGATGCAGGGGTGGTGATTCCCATCATATCCCCATTTAACATACCTATTTAGCCTGCATAGAAGACAGTTAGAACTTGGAGAATGACAGTGGATTACCATAAGCAGGTGGTGATTCCAAGTGCAGTTGCTATACCAGATGTGGCTTCATTGCTTGTGCCGATTAACATGTTCCCCAGTATCTCATAGGCAGCTATTAATCTGGCGAATTCCTTTTTCTCTGTCCCTGACAATAAGACCTACTGAAAGCCATTTGCTTTCTTCTGTCAAGGCCACCAATACACCTGCACTCTCCTACCTCAGGAGTATATCAACTCTCCAGCCCTGTGTCATAATGTAGCTTGCAGGGACCTTAATCACCTTCCCCCTCCACAAGTTATTAACCAGCCCAGTTAGCAAGAAGGAGCAACTATTCTAGATTTATTTGTGAGACATTTGGATGTCTGAGGGTGGGAAATAGATACAATAAAAATTCAAAGGGCTTTCACCACAGTGAAGTTTCTAGGGGTCCAGTGGTATGGGATATGTTGAGATATTCCTTCTAAGATGAGATGAAGGATAATTGGCTGCATCTGGCACCTCCAATGATCAAAATAAAAAAAAAAGG